GTAAAAAGGGAATGCACACATGCTAGTGTGGTGGTGTAGTGACTGCAAGCTCGAAGGCTTTACTCTTACAAGAAAAAAAGCTGACAATGCCACCCTGGGAATTTCATCCAGTTTCACCCATATCTATTACCAAAGAGGTACTCAGGTCTTTTATACTTCAGACAAAGATGTGGTTTAGAGTGTAAAATAGTTTATTAATTCACATATACATCTCATCTTTACACACACTACGGTGCAGTCAAACCAGCCGTACATAGAAAACCAAGGCACACAAGATCCCTAACAAGGTTCTGCCCAGTCACACCCACTTTGGGCTTTCAGCTTTGAATAAGGAAAAAAAAGTTTTGAATAAATCCAAAACAGGAAAACAGCCATCCTCTGTAGTTACTGCAGAAACACACTGGTGATATGCAGCTTCGAAATTACCTCCTTCCAGTGCTGTGACACAAAAATAAGAATTTACAAATCATTTGGAAACAAAATGTCAAAAACACAAAATAAACTGAATCTCCAATTTAAAGCAAATGAGCACATTATATTCGGTCTATCAGTATTGTGGAATAAAACACATAAACTGATATAAAAGGAAAATCTAAATGCATTCAAAATGCATTACCAAATTAACATCAACAATATTACTTTTCAAGGGAACCTAAAACCCGAGCAATAAACAAAACTGAAACATTCTGGGCCACCACAGAGATCTAAATCAGCTGTGCCTGAGACAGTGACCTCATGTGGCCTTTCCCCTCAGTGAAAGTAGAAAATTATATTTAAAAGTCTCCGTGCATTGCTGCACAATTTAGATAGAACTGTTCCCCCTTTGGAAGGCCATGACAGAAACTGTATCCCATGTACTAAACCCATAAATACTCATCAACCTGTTTTCTCTCAGACCAGGGCCAACAGTTTGTATTCTCTGTGTTTGAAGAAGCCTGCAGATGATGAAATTTCTGGCAGAAATTCCAAAACCAGCGCAACCTGACAGAAAGGATAAACCATCAAGGTTATGATTGCTTCATGTGTTGTTCGGCTCAGAGATTATTAAGCCTTCAGCCCCATCCTTGAAACCTTCCTTTCAAAGAGAAAGTTATGACTTTATTTTTCACTTAGCTATCATCTGAAAAATTTACATCCCGAATCCTCCCACCTCCCCAGATGAGGACAAGGAGTCTCACATTCCCATGAACTTAGAATGCCCCACTGTGCGTATGTATTCGTGATGCTATCCTATATTTATATAAGTGACAAAAAAGTGATATTATTAAAACATGCGATCAATACATAAAATGAAGAAATTTCAATCACAATCCCCAACAGTGTCACCAGCAACACCCCCCCACTTCATCACACCTCTTCCCCCATGCTTCACAGTGGGAATCCTGCATGTAGAGACCATTCTTGCACCTTTACTGCCCAAACAAATCTCTTATGCTTGTTGCTTTTCCTTAGTAGAGGTTTCTTAGCAGCGATTTGACCATAAAGCCCCAAATCATGCAGTCTCTTCTGAGCAGTTGATGTAGAGCTGTGTCTGCTACTGGAACTCTGTGTGGCATTTATCTGAGCTCTAATCTGAGGTACTGTTAACATGTGATTTCTGAGGCTGGTGACTTAGATAAATTTATCCTCAGCAGCAGAGGTGACTCTTGGTCTTCCTTTCCTGGAGTGGTCCTCATGTGAGCCAGTTTCGTCATAGATTAACTGACCTTCAGTTCTTAAAGTGATGATGGACTGTCATTTCTCTTTACTTAGCTTATTGGTTCTTACCATATTATGAATTCTAGCAGTTGTCAAACAGGGCTTTCAGTGTGTACCAACCTGACTTCTGCACAAGACAACTGATGGTTTGAACACCATTAAGAAGTAAAGAAATTCCATTAATGAACCCTGACAAGGCACACCTGTGAAGTGAAAACCATTTCAGCTGACTACATCATGAAGGTCATTAAAAGAAGGCCAAGGGTTTGCAGGGTTTGCTTTGTTTGTCAACAAATCATTCATGCCTAAGGCTCTGCAAGAAAATGAGCCAATGAGAAACCCGGGGCACAAAATATTAAACCACAAAACACACAATCTTGACTTTTTTCACAGATCATAACTGTTTATATTCATCGTAGAAATGGTGCTGTATGCGATGTAAGACAGTTAAAGGCTGTTGTAACACAGCAAATTTTGTTAAAAAAAAAAGGTTTGTCACTCGACGGGAGTCGACTCTTCTGATTCATTACCTTTGAGACAAATCAGTAATAGGGAAGTTGTTGTTTGTATTTTTATAATCAATTCAAAGTCATCATTGGGCTGTTGAGCAATGAGTGACATCTGTCGACAAGTCTGATGAGAAGAATGAGAGCACTTCCTGTCAGGAGAATAATGGTAGCCCAAGCCAGACTGATACACAGGATAAAGCTCAGACATTTGTTAACCATGTAGATTAACTTTTGGTTGGAGATGAAGACAACCCTCAGCAGCAGCTAGCTCTCCTTTAAGCAGGTAAACGCCTCCCGAGCTGCCCTATTCCACTGAATACACACTTTGGGAGAGATATATGAGCGGTAATACAATCGGGCTGAAATCTTTAATGAACCATCTGTAAAAATTGGCAAAGCCCAGGAAACGCTGGCGTTGTCAACGGTTTGGAGGCTGGGGCCAGTCCAGAACTGCTTAGACCGCTGGGTCAGTTTTTAAGTTACCTTGTGTGATGAGGAATCCCAGGAACGCCACAGTGTCCACCTGAAACTCGCACTTCTCCGCCTTCACAAACAAGTCAAACAAGCTGCAGTAATCCTTCCAAAGTGACAGCAGCTAACGCAGGGGAAGCAGAGTCTGCAGAGTCCATAGTTGTGGACTATTCTGTCACAAGGCAGGAAGGACTCAAGCGCAGACCGAAAAGCACAATACAGTTCCTTTTATTTACACACAACACCGGGTTCTTGTATACACAGGTGAGAGAGGGGAATCCAGAGGGGGGCACAGGGGAGGTCAAGGAATAGGGGCTCTTCACACACGGGTGATTCTTTGCACAGCTCCAAATGCTACACACAAGCGACTTAGCTCGCACAGGGCTCCAAGGAACGGGGAAACCTGCACACAGGAACAAGAGGTCACACCAGTGAAACATGAAGAGGAAACTTAGAACCAAGCGAACGAAGGCTTACTAACGAGATTATTCAATAGTCCAGCGTGGAGAGGTTCCCAGCCACAGCCTAATGTAGTGGATGCTGATAAGGTAATGCACCCCAGGTGCATGATGACTTAACGTAATGACTTAAAGGTTTGAGGGCCAGGGGCAGGAGCCCGCAATGAGATCCACCCAGGCAACGCATGGTGAGCCTGAGAGAAAGGAAAACAAGAAAACACATATAGACAACCTGGGCCAGCTGGGCAGACACGGGGACCATGACAGACCCCAAAAGATGAATACTATTTACCCTGACAGGTTTCCTCAGTTCTTAATCTTTTAGTAAATTAAACTGAAGTCTGAATGTCTTGAAAACATTTTCTTAATATGAAAAAGTTTTGGATTTTTAACAACTGTTCAGTAAATGTTTATTGTTCTGGTGTTCTGTAAGAATATAATTTTTAAAAAGGATTCCTTGAGAAACAAGTTCATGGGATTTATAATTAATGAGCTGATTACTTGTATTCTTGTCACTAAACACATGAAATCAAATGTTTCTATTCCTGCGTTACTCTCTAATGTAATGCAGTCAAATAAACAGAAAAAGATACTTGAAGATCAAGTAACAGTTTTAAAAAAAAACTCACAAACAGCTGCACCAGTGAAAGACACTTTATTTTCTAAAATTCAAAAATGTTTTTATGTCATGGCCTGTGCAAGTGAAATCAACCAAAACCTTTTTCTCAGCTACAACCAGGTAAAATGTCTAAGTAGCGGTCTGAAAAACTCGTTTAGGAGTGAAGAAACATAAAAGAAACATAAAAGGAAGGTGAATGAAACTCCACCCCTGACATGATTTATCTGCAACAAACCAGGAAATCTGCTGTTCCTCTTCCTAATTAAAGAGAGACACACAGACTTTGTAAAAGGAAGGTGTATGAAGCTCTGCCCCTCACATGACTCAATTGAGAAAAACGAGGAAACAGGCTGTTTCTCTTCCTGATTAAAGAGAGACGCACAGACGTTCAGACTGAGCTCAGACCAAACTAGCAGCTTCCTCTGAGTGAGTCCAGCTACAGGAGAGAAAAGTGGAAAACTCCAACACTGCTGCTTCAAGCTGCTGACGCTCCACACACTTAATGTGAGTTTGAGCAAAAACACGACTCAAAGGACGTTTCAGTGAAGGTGGTAGAGGAGGGAGGGGAGCCAGGACTGACTGTACTTCTTGTCTGCTTTTTTCAGTTTTACTCACAGACTCAATGGCTTCCAGATCAGAGGAGGATCTCTGCTGTCCGGTCTGTCAGGAGGTCTTCAGAGATCCTGTTCTTCTGTCATGTAGCCACAGCTTCTGTAAAGTCTGTCTGAATAGATGGTGGAGAGAGAGACCAACACACGAGTGTCCAGTTTGTAACAGAAGATCTTCAAAGGATGAACCACCTTTTAATCTGGCTTTAAAGAACCTGTGTGAGTCGTTCTTACAGGAGAGAGATCAGAGAGCTTCAGAGGCTCTCTGCAGTCTGCACTCTGAGAAACTCAAACTCTTCTGTCTGGACCATCAGCAGCCAGTGTGTGTCGTCTGC